GTGCATGATTTAAATATTTTGTGCGATGAAGATAGAGCATAGCCAGACTATATGATTTTGTAGGGATAGCTTTCTTTAGCCATGTTATTTTGAGAAGACATGATTGCTTTGTTAGTATGCTTGAAGTATTATTGTTTTCATGTCAATATGAACTTTTATCTTGAATCATTTGGATCAGAACATTCATGCCACAATAAATAAAATTACATTGAGAAATATGCTAGGTAGCATTCGACATCAAAGATTCTATTTTTATCATTTACCTACTCGAGGACGAGCAGGAATTAAGCTTGGGGATGCTTGATACGTCTCCAACGTATCTATAATTTTTGATTGTTCCATGCTATTATATTACCCGTTATGGATGTTTATGGGCTTTACTATACACTTTTATATCATTTTTGGGACTAACCTATTAACCGGAGGCCCAACCCAAATTGCTGTTTTTTTTACTATTTCAGTATCTCGAAGAAAAGGAATACCAACTGGAGTCCAAACGGAATGAAACCTTCGGGAGAGTTATTTTTGGAACGAAAGCAATCCAGGAGACTTGGAGTAGACGTCAGGGAAGCTTTGAGGAAGCCACGAGGCAGGAAGGCACGCCCTACCCCCTAGGCGCGCCCCCACCCTCGTGGACCCCTCATGGCTCCCCTGACCAACTTCCTTCGCCTATATATATCTACGTACCCCGAAAACATCCAGGAGCACAATATATCAGGAGTTTCGTCGCCGCAAGCCTCTGTAGCCACCAAAAACCAATCGGGACCCTGTTCTGGCACCCTGCCGGAGGGGGATCCCTCACCGGTGTCTATCTTCATCATCCCGGCGCTCTCCACGACGAGGAGGGAGTAGTTCACCCTCGGGGCTGAGGGTATGTACCAGTAGCTATGTGTTTGATCTCTCTCACTCTCATGTTCTTGATTTGGCGCGATCTTCATGTACCGCGAGCTTTGCTATTATAGTTGGATCTTATGATGCTTCTCCCCCTCTACTCTCTTGTAATGGATTGCGTTTTCCCTTTGAAGTTATCTTATCGGATTGAGTCTTTAAGGATTTGAGAACACTTGATGTATGTCTTGCATGTGCTTATCTGCGGTGATAATGGAATATCACGTGATCCACTTGATGTATGTTTTGGTGATCAACTTGCGGGTTCAGTGACCTTGTGAACTTATGCATAGGGGTTGGCACACGTTTTCGTCTTGACTCCCTGGTAGAAACTTTGGGGCACTCTTTGCAGTACTTTGTGTTGGTTGAATAGATGAATCTGAGATTGTGTGATACATATCGTATAATCATGCCCACGGATACTTGAGGTGACATTGGAGTATCTAGGTGACATTAGGGTTTTGGTTTATTTGTGTCTTAAGGTGTTATTCTAGTACGAACTCTATGATAGATCGAACGGAAAGAATAGCTTCGTGTTATTTTACTACGGACTCTTGAATAGATCGATCAGAAAGGATAACTTTGAGGTGGTTTCGTACCCTACAATAATCTCTTCATTTGTTCTCCGCTATTAGTGACTATAGAGTGACTCTTTGTTGCATGTTGAGGGATAGTTATATGATCCAACTATGTTGTTATTGTTGAGAGAACTTGCACTAGTGAAAGTATGGACCTTAGGCCTTGTTTCCTAGCATTGCAATACCATTTGTGCTCACTTTTATCATTAGTTACCTTGCTGTTTTTATATTTTCATATTACAAAAACCTATATCTACCATCCATATTGCACTTGTATCACCATCTCTTCGCCGAACTAGTGCACCTATACAATTTACCATTGTATTGGGTGTGTTGGAGACACAAGAGACTCTTTGTTATTTGGTTGCAGGGTTGTTTGAGAGAGACCATTCTCATCCTATGCCTCCCACGGATTGATAAACCTTAGGTCATCCACTTGAGGGAAATTTGCTACTGTCCTACAAACCTCTGCACTTGGAGGCCCAACAACGTCTACAAGAAGGTTGTGTAGTAGACATCATCGCCACTACTGGAGCTCGACCGCGTCCTCTTCCCCTCGCCATAGTAGGAGAAGGACGCAAGAAGAAGAAGGAGAGGATGTGTGTGGGTGAGCTCTTCCCCCATGCCTCCTTTTATAGTGGAGCATGACCGGGGGCTGGCTCCTCACCGCCCAAGAGACAACCGTCCCACTCCACTAATCCGGTAACTCTGCATTGCTAACAACGTCCGGAATCGACGACCACCATCATGCGCCTATCCATGGTGCTGGGCTTTCTGCCATGGTACTCATTCTCGCGCTCTACACGTCCGCCACCAACCCTGCGCAATGCATGCGGCGTACATGGCGGAAATGGCAGGAGTAGTGGGATGAGTAAAATGGCAGTTACCTCCCCGTGAACGGGGATGGCCCGCGGGCCACAACATGGATAACCCCACGTGGTTCAGCATGACTCGCGGGAAAACCGAAAACTGATTCAATCACAGGTTAATGAAGAAGCAAGGAAGATATCCAGGAAGACATGGATCCCATTGTAGTATGTCCAAAGTGTTCGCCTGTGTATTTGTTGGGGTCTACCCCAACGATGCCCGGCAGCACATATGGGCCAGGCCTGGGGGCTCCTGTCGGTGCAACAAACATGTGCATTTGCTGATCAGACCTATGCACAGGCATGCTGGCAGTTATATATTCAACACCAACGCGTAACACAAAGGCCAAGCTAAAAAGAACCGCTCTTCGTGAGGTCAAGGAGCCGATCAAGAAGACCAAGCCAAGCATATAAATCAAGGTTCCAAGAGGAGTGTTCCCAGCGGCCCGAACCTGGGTAAAAACCACCAGTGTCACCGTCATCGTGCTGCTTCATGGCCTCCGCTCTTTTTGCAACATGATGTCCCCCTTGCTGAACATAAAAGGGGCCCATGGCCTCATAGGTGATCGTGTTCACCCACGACACATGGATACTACAAAAGAAAGGAAATTTCAAATAAGTTTACTATTACAATTAACATAACATGAATCAATATAGTTTCCTCTTTCAGTTAACAGTAAGATAAATCAATTAAAGTAACACAAGAAAATTTTGGACCTGCCAAATTAAAGTAACACTAGGAAATTTCAGTACGCGGTAAGATAAAATAGCTAAGAGGCAGTGCAGTACCCTAGCCAAAGATTAACCTGTTAAATAAACATCTGAACTTATTCGAGAGGAAGCAGTGAACTACCCTAGCAAATTTTAGAGTACACTAGTGAATTAATGTAAAACAAGGAAAAGATCTACTACTAGGGTTATGAAGCAGAGGATAAACAGAGGATGAACAAATAGAGCATGAAAATGGTCTGTTGCTGCTAGGGGAGTGCTAGGGTTATAAGGCAGAGGATGAACTACCCTAGCATATTTGAGGCCCATATACTTTAATTGGACTAAAATTTGTTAAAAAATAAGAGGATGAACAAACCCTAATCCACAATTGCAGAAATCGGAGGAGGAAGAGGGTAGCCTAGGATACTTACAGCACATCGCCGACTCCGTGCGTCCATTAATGGCTACCGCTAGGGTTCACCACCCAAAGTTATGCCATCCGCAACCGCTGCTCCATGGATAGCAACGCCTCCGAAAGATCGTTGTCGTAGATGGAGTATGCAGAGCTGGAGTCATCGCCGCTGCTGATGCCGTCACCGTCGCCGTAGATTCCGCCATCCGGGCCTCTACGTAAGCACGGGATGTCTCCGCCGCCGTCTACGCCCTCGCTGCCGCCTGCCGAAGTTGCCGACGCCATAACCGCTCAGGCGACCTAGGGTTCGAGGGAAGATATGGGGGTCGGGGAGGACGGACCGGTTCGACCAGAACGGGCTAAGAGCGACCGACCTGGCTTCGTCCTCGTCAGCGCGCAGGCACGCGCCGTTTGGCCACCGTGGCACCTGACGGGTGGGCCCGACCGCTCAGTTCGGGCGTCAGTACGTGTAAACATGACTTTTAGTGTCATTTGCAACGGCTCGCCCCAAAGTTGATGCTGACATGCGAAAATTAGCAATTTTGGTACAAGTCTGCACGTTCTTCCCCAATTGTGGTACTTCCATGCAGTTAACTCCATGTATACGGACCGCTGGCACTCTGGCCGGCATGGACTATAGTCATTGGCATGACTATGGCGGCGGGCCCTAATTTTAGATTTTATTTTTTTCTTGCAAATAATTCTGGCGCCTCGGCTGGTTGGGCGCACTAGCCAGATTTGGTCAGGCGCGGCCGGACAATAACCCTTTGGTCGACCCAAATGAACGGAAAGGGAAAAGACGGACGTCAGTTTAAGGTCGTGCCTTGGAGTTGGGCTAACAGAGGTAGGGAAGAGTTGATGACCAAGAAGGGAAGGTAGAGGAGAAAGGATACAAGGGAAAGAGAAGGAGGCCGCCTAGGGATGTGTGAAAGCCTGCGGGCGTTCACGAGGGGTGGCACGGCTCTACATCACTCTTGCATATGCATGCGTTCTACTTCTCCTCTTTCTTCTTCCTCCTGCTATCTATCTATAGCTACCTCATCATCATTATTCTAGTGCTCCCATCGATCACCATTGCCAGATTTAGTAACCCTTGTATATCCATCATGAGGTTGACCCCACCTCCCTAGTTACTCCTACAAGTTACTCCTTCACCTAGTACCATGATCCCATCAGCCATAAATTCTTCTCCACTTCCTTCGGACAAGCCGTACAGGGCAGAGTCATCATCTTTTTTTTACCTCGGCAGCGAGCTGCTTACCTCACACAACCATCATCTTCTTCTACCAGCCTCTAGCTACATTTAATCGGTCGAGGTAGGCTAGCCTTCTCCTCCATCCTCCTATAAAGCCATCCCTTATGTGACCACTCATGGGCTCTCTCTCTCCCTCTCTCTCTCGTGTAGGTAGTAGCTCATAGGGACACACTTTGGAGATTGGAGGCCGGAGGGGAGAGCTCAGCTCAGCTCAGCTCGGCTCATCGTCGATCTTCGTCTAGCTACATCTACTTACTCCATCTAGCTCGCTTGCTTCTTGGTTGCTGGGCATGGACAATATGACCCACAACTCGAGCAGCAGCAGCTCCTGGGACTTGGACATGAGCCTCGGTAGCCACCACCACCCTCTGCTCTTCGACCACCCCACCCCAACAGGCCCAACTCCGCCGGCGCCACCGCCACCGCCATTATCCTTCCACCTCCACCCTCCTCCTCCTCCACCACCTCATCAACACCATCAGCACCACCAGCAGCACCAGCTAGCCATAGATCCCTCCCCTTCTTCCTCCCTCTTCCCTCCTCCACCTCACCACCACCCCCACCATCTCCACCACCTCGACTTGGCCGTCGACCCCCACCGACATCACCATGACTACCAACGTGACCAGCACCCGGACGAGATGCAGCAGCGGCCGCCGCCAGCGATGGAGGAGGGCTCGCAGCAGCTTCATCACCAGGACGCGGTTGACGAGGCGGAGGAGGAGCTGGGTGCGATGAAAGAGATGATGTACCGGATCGCCGCTATGCAGCCGGTGGACATCGACCCGGCCACCATCAAAAAGCCGCGCCGCCGCAACGTCCGCATCAGCGAGGACCCGCAGAGCGTCGCTGCCCGTCACCGCCGCGAGCGGATCAGCGAGCGCATCCGCATCCTCCAGCGCCTCGTGCCTGGGGGCACCAAGATGGACACGGCATCGATGCTCGACGAGGCCATCAGATACATCAAGTTCCTCAAGCGCCAGGTCCAAGACCTCCAGCACCAGCCTGCGCCGCCGCAACAACAGCACTATCCCGGCGGAGGCGGCACCGGCGGCGCTGGTCCGAGCAGTACCGCCGCCGTGGCCGGGCGGCCGGCTTTCTTGCCGCTGAGCGCCGGATCCCTGATCGACTGGGCTGGGCTGACGAGGCAGGTGGATATCCACGGGCCAACGTCGTCGTCTTCCTCGTCGTCGATGGGCGGCGCGCTAGGTTTCGGATTCAGCACGGGCGGTCAAAGCAGCCACGGAATGCACTGAGAAGCTAAAGAAGAGCGAGCGAGCCGTCCCATATAGGCCATGGATGGATTAACTAGGGATGGATGCATCGATGAGATGACTAGAGAGAGGTAATTTTGATTTAATTTCCTCCTAACGCTGCTGCTGCTGCTTCTTCTTCTTCTTCTCCTTGCGAGTTTGTGTACTGGATGTTTTCTATGATGAAATTAAGTACAATTTATCAATAAGATTAGCTAGGGTTTGCTCCAATTAGCTGGTTTGCCATGTGATCTATCTAGCTTCATGGTCAATTTTGTACTGGTTCAACTTGTCTCATTTGCCAAGAATTTCTTGCTGGGAGCCTGGTACAGAATTTGGTTTTGTTTTGCTTTGAAGCTCAGACTGCTACACATACACAGTACTAGTTCTGTGCGTTTATTTAAAAATATAAATTTCTGCATGATGCTCAGTAGCTTGGTGGAAGCAAAGCTTGCATGTTGACCACTACCCCAGTAGCTAGGCACTGGTTCATGAGAGAGAGAGAGGAGAGAGATGCTACTACAACTCACATGCATTTATTGGTTTGTTACAAGCCTGCAGTTTGTCATGCTGAGATCATAGTGCCAGTTAACAAACACACACACGCCCTCTCTCTGTCCGTTATTTGTAAGCTCAAGGAGTGAATAAAAGAGAGAGACAGACAGAGAGAAAATTTTGGTTTGTCCTTTTTCTCCCCTGGCTGGCTTTGATGAGATAATACGTAATCCATAGGGGTGTAGATGGAATTATTGGTGCAAGGTATTCAGTGCCATTGTCAGTCATGAGTGAGTGGTGAGGTGCTGAATTCTATGCACCAGGAAAACCAGTAAAGAAAGGAGGCTGGCTTTCGTTGGAGAGTTCCCAGAGATGCAAACCAACAACCATTGAAAAGCTAGCGGTACCTTCTTTCTCTGACGACGACGGCGATCACCTCTATCCATCTACCTATACATACATCTTAGCTAGTCTATGCTATCTTACGTCCTCTCCAGTATACTCGTTCTTTAGCTTCACAAAACAAATGTGAGAACCTAATAACGCGCGCGCGCACACACACACACATCGAGTTCATGCATGTGTACGTTTTATCTTACGGTCAGCAGCTTGTTTTTTTTTTCAGAATTGTGTTGTATGCTTGCACAACTGGTATTTTATGTTAACTGACACTTATTAGTGTTAATTAATGGCTCATCAACCAGCACACGTGAGCAATTATTTATGAAAAAAAAACATAATCTGGGTACTATATTTACAAAGAAGAATGTTGTACCGAGTACTTCTATATTCGGAAGACTTGGCTACCGGAGAACACAAATTTGTGTAGGTAGCTTTTATTCTTCATCAATTCAGTTCATAATAAATTTATGTGACCATGCATACAGTATATTGGCATTCTCGCGGATGATTCAATTAAACATCAGCAAAGTCTAGTTACATTAGTTCCTTCTTTAATTATTACCCTATCCTTTTATTTATTCAAAGTTTATATGCGTCCATTCTTCATTATACATATGCAGATCTATGTTAATCAATTGTTTGGAGTAGCAAATGACGATGTAATTACATAATCTATTCAGGCTATGCTTGCTTAATCTGGTAAAAAAAATCATGTTTTGTTAATTTGTGCATCTGAATTATACTATGTACTCCAGGCTCTTATTATTTCTCCAAATGAGGATGTGTATACCATATGTCTGTTGGAATATTTTGTTGAGCATGGTAAAACTCACTGCGGTTGGACTTAATGTTCACTAACTAAGATATCGCAGATACTTGATGCTCATACTCACAGGTTTTCGTACGTAAAGCTAGCCTATAAAGCTATCACATCATTTATAACAAAATAAAATTGTTTCTGTGGAGGCTGATTCTGAGATAAGCAACTTCAGTTCCAGAGAGAGTGGCTGGTGCTGACCACAATGGTTAGATTTAGATAAGCTTTCTAGATATGGTCATTTTTAGCTGAAGTTTCTCACGAGGATCAAGGGTCTGATTTGTCAGTTTTCGTGAGCCTTTGTATAGCTAGATATCGAGCTAGCACATCAATTATAACAAAATCAATCTGTCACGGTAATGATGTAACAATAATGCTCACCAAGAGATGTACAGGATTGACATAATTTGATATTCATACTTAAGTGACATCTTCATCATCAAATAAAACAAAAACATATGAATAATATGTCTAACGTCATGACATGAATTATATCTCTAATATGTCAATTTTACTGTATGTGCGACTATAAGTTTGCTTTTAATATTAAGCACATGGATGTTACACCATGGAGGAAAACATGCCCAAAAATGTGTGGTTCCTACGAAGAATATCACACTGTCAGTTGTAATCCCATTCCAGCAGAAAGTTTTTTGTGAGGACAATCTTTCCAGTAGAAAGTTTTCTTGTGTGAGGACAATATAGCGCAAAAAAGGTTTCCCAATTTGGTTTCATCAAGAAGGGATAAAACCACACACTTATGGTATCGGTTGTCTGCTCTAGATTACAATATCAAATGATCGATGTAACAACCCCTAAAATCTGACATCCCTGCTAATGTAAAAATAGGCACATTCATGGAGACTATACATAATCTTTCGTACTTCGCACAAGTTCTATAAAAAAACTACAATAGGCACATACATACATGTCGACTAAGGTCCGGAAATAAATGCAAAATTTCGTTCTATTTGGCACTCCTATCACTTCCTCACCATCTTACCTTTCAACACCCGCGTTCTCCCCTGATGCTTTTAATGGAAATTTGTTCAAGACGTCAAAGTGCCCTGTATAGACTAAGTTGTCACAAATAATTTTCACCCCAGAAAGTCTAGCAATGATGTGACAAAATTCGTGGACGATAGGCATGACTTACTCAATCTTAATATAGCAAAGTTCCAACTTCCAACTGGATGGAAGAGAACCACTGTTTGAATGTCCTAGACGAGTTACTTGTTCATTTCCTTCCTCGTAAATTAGTGTTCTCGGTCCAAAATGTAATTTTGAAGGGCTCCAAACTAACTCACCGCATGGCGAGCTTACAATCTCTACATGCATATTAATTCATATATGAATAAGTAAGGTATTTTGTCCTAAGTGTGTGTACTTGAGTATCTAGATATACCACTTAATACCAGAGTCTTCATGTTATCGTCTCTTGAGGAAAGATCGCCATTAATTGCCAACCAAGTACACTTTTTTAGCTGCAAGCTTTCCAAGTACTATACTTGAAATGTGTTTAGTTTATACATTATAGGTCAATTATTGGGTGGGGCTTGAGAATTCAGATTAAGATGCATGTTTGGCAAAAGAAATGAAAGAAAGTTATCACAGTTGTCATTGGAGGGGGGATACTTTTGGTTGATACGAAACACTCAAAAATTGAGATGTTTCTACAGGAAACGAACAAATGGTACTGGTGTTGCTCTATTGCTAATCTTGTAATGACTGTGTTCTTGGGTTTTATTGTGAGGTAAAAGAGGCATGCCAAGGAATGTCACGTTAGGCTTGGGAGGGAAAAGGATAGGGAGGAAGAGGGCTAATATTCGAGCGTGTGCCAAAGGAGGTCTTCATACAATAAGAGTACATGGAGGCGAATAATTTGGTGAAGCTCTTTGGATGATGATTATGATGCTATATCATACTGTTGTACTATAATTTTGAGACGACTATGCTTCATAATCTTATATGCTTTGTTGTTTGTTAGCGTCAATGATCACCTTAATTTTTTTCGGAATCATGTCATTCAACATGTTTGATGCTCTCATTTGAGTTCATATAGAAACCTAATTGTGATTTTGATAACGGAAATCAGAGACTTCGCCACTTGCTAACAAAATGTTTTGGCCATGTAGAGTAGAGCATAAAATAGCACATGCATGCATATGCTTCTTCTAGCAATCTGGGTCCGTAATGTTGATAAATGGGTTAATAAAAATTAGAGGTACAAGTTGCAGAAAAATATGTTAAAAAAACATACAAGGTAGCCTGAAATACACGGTCATTTTTTTTGTCCGTATTGTTCTACTAACACGGTCATTTCTTTGTGAGCTGTGCAATAAAATCACAAAATGAATTACTACAAGGTAGCCTGCAATACAAGTTACATAATTGTCTACACGTTCATCTTGTGATTTTGGCACAAATCACAAATCGATGCTCATATATTTTTTACCAAATATGACATGAACATGGTATATCACTCTCTACATGTATGAACATTTCTCTACGTTTTGCGTACATTATTCTTGATGAGCTTTAAGAGATAGGATAATATGTATAGTAGTCCAGATCAGCACTTCTCCAAGGGGATCCATCTGAAAAGATACCACCGTGCAGACGACATTTTTTAATATAGTATGCATATCTCCAACGGTTCAGTTAAAATTTATGTTTCTGATGCCTGCAGTAGCAGTACACCAGTAGACACTGTTCCAGTCTCCACATCCACATACCCATACGGAAATAAAATACGGGACTGTCTGGCATGCCTGCCTCCACATCGTGGCATGCATGGCCTGTATAAGGTTGTAAAGTCAGCTATTTGGAGAATTTGTTCTGACGTTTGTGTTGTACATCTCAAGCAGATCGATCTACAATGTATTTTCATAGCGAAGGAAGTTTCGTTTCTTGAAACTTCTTTTGGAAACATATAGTGAAGGAAGTAACTAACCGATCTCAAATTCACATTCTTTTTTTTAGAAAAGAGGCATCTGCGCAGCTTTAGCGAACTGGAGCCCTAAGGTTTACATGAACAAGGTTCAACAAAATGTCAGGTTCAACAGCCACACACCAAGATACAAACCCACACAAGGATCCTAAGTATTGCAGGTTATATGATCATGCACATAAGTAGTGCAGGTTGTAACGGTCAAGTGCACTTGTAAGTATAACTAAATAAGGGCTGAGAAAAATGCATGCACATGCATTCTCTGTAGATATCATAGTTTTAAATAGCGGGTTATGTCATTTAGCGGAGGCTTGGCTAGAAGCTATGAAAAGCTATAGC